CCTCCTCGTAAATATGTCAGAATTGTGAGCGACTTTTATCTTTTTGAATATGTTAATTCATTAATCTCTAAAAAGTTCTTGTGCTTGATACTCTTTCAACTAGTGTTTCCATTTCCTCATATACAAATAAATCGAAAGTTTAACATAGCAACCGTCACGAAAAGATGTTAAATTTTGAACGGTTATAACATTGTCATTTATAGATTAAATTAAAATCAAAATACGCCAATCGATAGGAAATAACTCTACAAATTTTCTAAAATTACTGCTTTACTATTAGCCATTAAAAATTTTTGAAAATGTACAAATAAAAAGTGAAAATTTTATTACTGTTTTCATGATATAAACGTTTTATCTGACGGATCAAGGTACTAGCAGCAAGCAGTAGCGGTAAAAGTTGAAATTTTCCCTATCTTTGCCGTCATGCAAATTATTCTCGCATCGAACGGTGGCCTTGTTTAGCGCAATTGGATTGGTGTGTGTGAGAGAGAGAGACATAGATACTTGGTGTCTCTATCTCACACCAGTGCAAATCTCGGCTCGGTCACATCCCGGAGGAACGCAGAAGAGGATGGAGTCTTTCCCCTTCAACGAATCATGGAACAGTGTCATCGTGCAGAAATATAACAAAGAAATATCATTAATTGTTTCTATCTAAGTGATAGATAGCAAAGCCGGTTTCAAATGGACCCTAGCTATTATTTTTTTTTTTGCTTTATTTAGGAGATTTTTAGTCGTAGGCAAGTGTTTAACTCCGTACCTAAAATTAAAAAAAAAGTCACTTTGTTCAATTAAAAGTCACTAAAGTCACTAATTTACCTTTCTCCCGTTTTCAAATTTTATTTGTTTGTATTGCGCTTAATCAACTGTAAAGTCTATTTTTTTTTTTGTTTTCTGGAGTCACTTGCCACCATCCTTGTTTTGGTGTTAACTCAGCTACACAGAGTGATTTTTTGGGCGCAGAAATTTCGATCTAGAGGAGGTTGTCTAATAATCCTCTAATGCATAAGGAAATTTTTGGACGCCCATCTAGACTGCTATGCACAATGAACTGTCGGCTCCGTAAAGCTAACGCGATTGAGCCTTCCAAATAAATGACCCTGATAGATTCCAATGCACACATATAATCAAAATATCGGTGCAAAAATACAACATGAGAAATATTCTGTCTTCATCCAAAATCAATCATCGCCCGTAAATGTGGAATGGAACTATTACCAATTCATAATTAAACGTTTGAAACAAAAATACGTCTTCAAATGTGTTATGAAAAGCGTTCTGTGCCCGGCAAATATAAATTTGTGTGGACCCATCAGAAGTGAAATTCAGTGCTAGGGGTAAGTCACTCAGCACAGTGTACGGAAAATAGATTTGGCACACCTTCGGCACAATCTCGTAGGCATTGGATTGTTCATTAAATACAATGGAAGCAGGGTTGCTTCCACTCACTTGCTATAAAAAAATGATTTCCTGAATTTTGAAATCATTAGATGTTATAATGTGATTTTGTACTTGGTAGATACAAGAAGAGTTTGAAAGGCAAGTGTTTGACTCATAAAACCTGTCAATTTCGCTACCAGAGTGTTACAATCAGCGATCTTATGATTCGTGAGCGTTCACTCAGAGTGAGCGCTCGCGAGTCGGCAAATTGCTGATTGTGACTATCTTAAAGCGAACTTGACAGGTTTCATGTGTCAAAAACTTGCCTTTCAACCTCTTCTTGTATCTAACAAGTACAAAATATGATTATAACAGCTAATGATTTCAAAATTCAGAAAATCATGTTTTTATAGCAAGTGAGTGGAAGCAAGCCTGAATGGAAGCATTGCTGAACAGGTGTCATTGAAGTTGTTCACAACAATACGTGCTGTTTGACTGTATATTTCAGTAAATATACCAGAGGAACCAGCAATTCAGCGAGGACTCAAGAGTAAGAGGTAGTTGATCAGAATCTAATAGTACTCGTAATTCAAATAATGGTGCAACTTACACAAAACAAACTACAGAAGTCATACTCATCGTCCTCTATATTCAGTCTCCAAGATTGTTCCACACCGCTTTCAGCCCATTGCTTTTCACATCTCGAAAGGCTGGGAATCTGGTCTGCCATTGAGGACATAACAAAACCCTAATGCATACGAATTTTGTTATCTTATGAACGGCGGTTGCTCCTTCCAAATATTTTTCGATGTTATTTTCTTTGCATTCTTCCTTTTTTTTTCTTTGTTATGTCCTGTCCTCACGGTCCATCTCGCCACCATTCCTCCTTAGTTGTCGCTAGATCGATGTGTTTCTTGTGATTGCAAACCAAACATTCAAGCTGTCAGAAATACCTGGTTGCCGAATATATTGCCGTTTCAGGGAAAATAATTCAACGCAACTGACAGCCATAGCATGCTAAGAAAGCTGACAATCTGGCGCCAAATGCTAATTTTTCTCTGAATTGGCAATATCATAATATTCGTATTTAAAAAAAAAATCACAGCTTGCTCTATGACCGGCACTGCCGGCATAATCGGTACACCTGCGGCACACTGAGAAAAAAATGACCCAAGATTGGTGTGTGGAGTGACCTACCCCTTGTGCTAGAACAAATATTACGTCAATTGATACTGGTGACAGCACGCAGCGCTGATAAAGGTTCAATAAATTTTACATTTTCCGATCGATTTTTCTTATTTCATAGCTGGAACTTCTGGATGAGTACAAAAATATGGGTTTTGAGAACCTCGTGCATGGCAATTGCTCCTCTTCATAAGTTGTTTTTGTTTTTATTAAAGAGGCTTGTCTTAATATAAACAAGTTCCCCTCCTAAATTTCGCATTGAAGAATGAAGGGATGATTATTACATAAAGTGTCTATTAACAGAAAAAATTAAATCATTTTTTTAAAACTAAAACAAAAAAAAAACAAAATTAGTGACCATCTGTACAAACAAAAAACTGACTTTAGTAACTTTTAATTGGACAAAGTGACTTTTAAGTGACCGGCTTGAGAAAAATGACCAAGTTACTTGCTACCAGCTCTGATAATATGGGTCTGACTAAGTGAAATTAGTTTGTTCTTAGAAGAAAATTAATCAGATATTGAGAACACAATTTAAAGGTTATTTTGGAACGTTACGTTGCTCTACCTAACCTAATTAATTGATGTTTGTAAATCGTGAAACACATTGGGCGTTAATGGGATAAGCACATGGACGCCTGTGAACTTCTGCTCTATCTGCTTTTGGAAGATGACTTCTTTAATTATGCCAATTTTTCTCATTTTAGTTATCACTCTATTATTTTAACAGGCTAAAAATCTCAATAATAAAGGAAAAATAGAAACTCTATCTAGAAAAATATTAATTTACTATTGTTAATTCCTGGTTATCACGACAACAAAATGCACTATGTCATCGTTACGTAAATCTAATAAATAACAATCGCTAGTTTTTCGCGCAATCCCCAAGCTCCAGAACGAATCGTTCGAATAACTCACCCGCAACCTAACCTATTCCCCCGTGTTGCACCCAAGCTAGATAGATATACCTCCACTATCATCACCCCATGTTTGTGATAGATTGTTGTGTCAGTCGGTTGTTGGTCGGCCCTGCACCCAAACGATCGCTATCTGATAAATGAAGCGCTTCGACGACGATGTGGTATTTATAAGCAAACAGATTCATGCCATCCAGAGGAGCACCGATTAGAGTCGCACAGAACATCCAGCCGTCGGTTCGTTCCGGAGGGAAAAAAGTTAGTGAAAAACCGCACTCCGAGCTCTCTGCGAGCATGATCCAGTAGGCTGTGCTGCCGAGAGGGCAATTCATCACCTCAATTAAACCTGCGCGCCTACTGCGTTCTAGCCTCTAACTAGGCGACACGACGACGGAGCGGAGAGATCATCCCATTCGCCACTGTAAAGGGGATTGGCTACCACCACCGCAATAGCCTGAGCGATGATATTGTTGTTTGACGGTTTGACGAGCACAATTGGCGATCAATTATCTTTGATTAATAAATCGATCGATTGATTGCTGCAATGGAGGAGCGTCAATTTTAGGTGCTATGTTTTTGAACTGTTGCAGTAACCATTCTGAGGAAAAATTGATAGATTCTACAGAGAAAATAAACTACTGATTTGGGAATAAATTAAGTTTAATGGCACTGTGTCATGCAAAGTAGTTTCAACAGTACATGTTTTATGTCACAATTTCATCAGCATTGCCCGCAAATGGAATAAAATATAACGAGCTCGTAAAACTACCGCCATTAAACCAAATTTCTCCCCTCTCCATACAGCTAACCATGAATGCAATTTACCACTGTTTCACTGCTTTTTATCTTCTTCTTCGTGCATGCAGTCGGACGTCAGACCGCGAACTTATGCGGGAACGTGAATGTCAAGGTCAATGGCGGGATTTGTTTTCATTGTTCAGTGTCACAATCGAAATAAAAAGCGAGGCAAAACAACGAATTTTGTTCGTTGTTCCCAAATCAAAGTTGTTTTATACACAATGCTGATGAGATGGTGAAATAAAAAAACCGCCATAAACAACAAGAGGCTCAACGGCTTGTCATTACCTGGTTTGGAATGGTTTTCAACGAGCTTGAATGTGTCTATCGGATTATATTCTCACCGGGAGGAAATGGTGATTTACATGCTCTGTTGCTAAGTATATACCTGCTGAATCGTTTTGGGTAATTTGCGTGCTTCCGGTCATCTCCGACCTTGAACGGGTTGCGCTAGCCGGAACCAGACCGGAAGTTTTCCCTGCTACTGCCATTAGAACAACTAACACGCCATAAGCCGTTCGTTTCGGTTGGGAAAATCGCTCCTAAAAACACGTGGCCTACTGAGAACAAACAATCAAAAGTAGAAATGCGAACGTGCTCCATTCCCAGCAAAATCTAGTAAACAGATCAATCCATTACAGCTATTTGTGACCAACCGCGTTACCGTGTTTGCTGTGTCACTATTAATGTAAATTTCCCATACAAATAACAATTATTTACCTGCATCTGGATGCCATTTTTAGGCAGCACACTTCCATCGTTGACTTCCTTCTAATGGAAAAAACCGAAAACGCCTGCTTGGATCACTAACTGAACAAGAACTCAAAATCCACACAAATTCACTATTCAATCACTTTCTATTTTGTCTATTTTCCTTGTCCTCTCCTCGCCGGTAGTGCCAGTGACACAATTTCGAGTCCATTATTTCACCTGCCAAAGTTTGCGGAAGGCGGCTCGCCACCTACGAAAATCGTGTTCTGTTTTGACAATTAGCTACCGCTGCCGAATGTCGGTAGTCAAAACAGAGTAGGTACGCCATGTGCGAAAACGACCGACTGACGGACGACGCTGGGGATGGGATCCATCGGCTTCCCTAATTCAATGCACGTGCTCGTATATGTTCGGAGTCTTCAACTGATGGACTGAAGCTGCCGGGGTGGAGCTAACTAATCACCCATTCACGGTGCGATTTCGGCTAACGCAATTGCCATTGCACTCCCCGGTAGAAGCGCGGTGTAATCCACTGAACCCGGATTCCCAAATTATTGGTTCGGTGGCGGAATTTATGGTGGCAGATCGTTTTGTTTATTACAGTGAAATGTTGGATCATGGATGGGAGCCAGTTTATGTGCGATAAAGGTTATTCATCTGGGTATTTGTAAAGGGCTGTTCATAAACTACGTAGGGGGAGGGGGGCTGGTGAGTGGCTATGGTTCATAGAAATTTCCAAAAAATGGTATGGACGATTGTCAAAACCTTGCAAAAAAGGTCTACGTAGTTTATGAACAGCCCCTAAGAGTATCCACAATGGATGAACTGATTTTATGATCATCGTTTACTCTAGAGGTGGGATTTTCAAATCGCATTTTTTTTTTCAAATGTGAACATTATTAAATATTTTCCCGCACAAACAGAACAAACCTCGATATCAAGTTTAACCACAATGTCAGATTTATGATTCATTCAAATTAATGATTTTTAAGTGACAACTTGGATCAGAGTTCAGTAAACTCATTTCATTTTGAAGTCGGCTATAATTGTGTGTGCATAATCTTAAGATAAATTGGAGTTACAGCATAACTTACATAAAATCTTCCAAACATTAAATAAAAACGCGAAGAGAAATAAAATAGCTGGCCACACGTTGTCGATGTTTTTCTCAGAAGAACTGGCAATCCTTAACCTTGTTGACGTTTTGCATTATTCGTTGCTTTTATCCGACACTGTTGTTGCCAGCGTTGCCAGTATTCCAGATTTATCAGGATTTTCCAGATTTTCGGTCATATACACAGACAGATCACGTATATTTCCAGTTTTTTAAAATATGTTCCAGATTTTTCAAACATGTTGCTTTAAAAATATCGTTGCAATTGATAGCAATCAAAAAATAAAAACTGCATCTTTAATTAATAAAGGCCATCAACGTTGGAAATTATTTCAACATAGTACATGGAATTGCTACATGTTTGCATGTTAATGGGTTGCAGAATCATGAAAATGGATCCATTTTCTAAAGATTATTCGCTGAAAAAAATCTTCAAACTTTTAAAAATAGTGTTTGTTTAATTGAAATTTTTGATTATTTTCTATATAAAAAAATGAAATTTTCAATATGGAGGAATTTTCATAATTTTTTAATTTAGAGAAATTGAAAACTGTTCAGGATTGAAAACAATAAATTCAACCTTGGAAAATTTGCAAGGCTTTTGAATCTAGACAACCATCACGACTTTGAAGTCATTGGCGTAGCTAGACAATTTATCTTGAGGGGGCCTAGTTAATTCTGGAGGGGGTCCAGATAACATAAATCTGCAGAGGGCCTAGATCATTCAGGAGGGTCTGGCCCCCCTGGCATCCCCATTAGCTACACCAATGTTTTAGGTATGTTTGTGAGATTTTTGAGGATAATTTATAGGGAAAATTTGAAAGGCATCTGACAATTTTTAGCATTTTTTTAAGTACCTGTGAATATTGAGTTACAGCAATCTAAATTTCTTTAGAATTCTGAATTGCCCTAGAATTTCAGAATTTTAAGGTGATGTTGAAAATTGTTTAGAGTGAAGTTTGAGGCAAATTCTTTGCGAAACCAAAGGATAATTTCAAGTTAATTCTGAGTAGAGTTCCATCCATCTTTGTAAGCTTCGTGGTCGTGCGGTGTCACCCGTCTTTCAAGCGTATTGTGAGTGCCACGACGTGAGGGTTCGATTCTCGCTCCAGCCAGTTGAATTTATCACAACCTGAAGATTTCCCTACTGGCCTAGTGTAAAGTTTTAAGTCTGTGCTACCTCTGGTTGAAGACAGTGTCAGTTGTCTTTTAAAAACTCTGATGACAATTGCATGGAGATATTGTGAAGCATGGAAATAGAGTTCGGAAGAGAAATCAAAGAAAGTTTTTATTAAGAAACTTAAGGAGTATGCTGATACGAATCGTGAGAATAATTTCAATGGAATTCTGTTCAAAAGAACATCTGGCAATTTCTGGGAGACTTTCCATGCCATTTTGGCAAAGTATTTGAGTACTTAGCAAATACCAAAAAGGATTTCAAAAACAATTCTGACCTTATCTAGAAAGCAGCTCAAAGGGAATTATCGGATAAGTCTGAAAATAGTGTGACGGTCATTCTGAAAAGTATGCCAAGGTAATTATTAAGAATATTCTAATAGAATTTCATAGAGAAAGATGAAAACAAAATTATGCCAATTCTTGGAAATTATTGCTAGCTTGGGGGAGTTGTGGAACCGGAGGGTGATTTATAAAAGATAACAAGAGAACTCTACTAAAAACGTTTGGATATTATTAAGATTATTTTAGGGGAATCCAGAAAAGAAATATGATGGAATTCTAGGATGATTCAAATGATACTCTGAAAAGGACGAAGATATCCTGTAAAGAGTTCCATGTAAATTCAGACTAACAAAAAGTTTTATGATCAGGGACCCAAGAAATATATAAATTCCGCTTTCAGACTTTCATTTTAGTCATACACAGCAAAAAAAAAGTAGTGTAAATTTCCGTTACTATGATGCACATAAATGGAGCGTCATATATCACACAAGTTTAGATTATAGATCGTGTAAATTTATGAGACATGTCATGCAATATTCCATATATTGTATGAAACTGTCCACTTTTGTTTGCAACATTTCTTGCAAGCTGCTAGTTTACGTGAAAAGGAAGTTTACATGTATGAATGTTTGCATGCATGGATGTTTACATCGCCAGTAAAATTCAGAATTTTTTGGTGTGTATAATAAAATGATTCGTAATGGCAATGCAAACAGTTGAGTTACCTGTAGTTTAAGTAAACTACATATGTGTTAATACCACGATGTTAGGCTTTGATTTTTACGCCAGCCTGGTGAATTTTACTTTAAAATAAAATTGCCTACTGCCTACTATGATGTCAAGAATTACATTGTAAGTCTGGTCAACCTCAGGGCAATATTAGAATTATTTTGAACTATTAAAATCTTTAAGACATATTATGGTACTGCATCAAAAAGTAAGGACTACATTGACTAGTAGCGAAGACAACAAATCAAGAAGACTGGCAACTTTGCCAGAATCCAAGCGACAGATACAATGGCGTTGCGCTTGAGTGAAGGTGGAAGCAACGCATAGAAAAATGAGCAAATACACAAACCCTTCTTCTAAGGATGTAATCTTTGCTATCAAATTCGTTCGAAGCATTTACCTTTGAGCGGCAGATGACGCGATTGTACCTGTCTCATAGCGTTAGTATGAGAAAATGGAAGAGTTGCCAGTCTTCTTGATTTGTTGTCTTCGCTAGTAGTTAAAAAAATCCATCCCATCAAAGTTGCTTGATTCTTTGCTTTTCATTCTTTTTTTTAAGTAACAGTTTAAAAAGTAATTCTAAAAATATTTTCTGCAGTATTTTACCAACGATTTAACTTAATTTTTGAAATGCTGCCTAATGGATACTCAAACTTTTTGGGCACACTGTGTCAATACTTTTCTTAACGTTTGGACGATTTAAACAACGCTAACGAGTTATTTAATTTATATAATTTATTTAAACATGTAATTCATAAACATTCTGGTACTTTGAATAAATTCCAGACGATCATACTGACCGATTTTTACGGGAGATTGGCACTTCACTTGTTCATTGAAAATAGGACAATAGGTTACCTCGGTCTAATATGAAGCCTTCAATTGCATTATATGTCATTTCTAATCAAATAATTGAGCTACAAACTATATTTCACTGTCATGTTGCACATGTTGCAAGTTTAGATATCCTTATTATTCGAATATTAATTAGGCACGACAGAAATTTACAACTACGCACCAATTACGAATTACGTTTTACTGCAATTGAAAACTCAGCTAAGTTATGAAAACTAAGCTACTATCATCACTGAGCCTGTTGGTTTTTGCCTGTATTATGTGTATTATGGAAAAGTGTGGATCATTCAAATGAGTTAGAAATGCTTGATGATAGATAATAACAGTAACTGTATTTTTTGGTATTGAATGTTTGGCTACGGCTCTCAAGTGACAAGCATGTTAAGTGAGTCTGCTGTAGTACTCAAATTACAATCTTCATTCCTTTATTTAACGCCGGTCTCTGTTCCGCAATCTAGTGCCAATCACCGACGGACATCGATTGCCATCCATTGACGCGTAGGATATCGCACCCATTCAACACACATGGGCCGGGACCAACGGCTTTACTTCCCTTCCGAAGGAAGACGTGACCAGAGATTTTTATTCCTCAGAAAAATCCCACCGACCTCGGCTGGGATTGAACCCAGACCCATTGGGGTGAGAAAGTAGTCACGCTTACCACCACACCACCGGCGCGGGCTCTCAAATTACAACCCTGTTTATTAATTCACAAAAATTAGACACCATACGAGAATGAAAAATGTAAACAATGGAGCCAATCATTCTTGCAAATCAAAACAAATTACACTTCGCTTCAAGTATCATCCCCAGATGATTCCCAATGAGACGTTCGTACTCACAGCGACAGCGAGGTGGTAAGATAATATTGAACAACCGCTCGAAAGTGCTACTTCTTAATTCATCAGCACATGCTGGTGCGGTCACGTATGACGCCACAAAATCCAACGCCAGTTTAAAGCAAATTTGAAATCAATCGATGCAATCTCTTTTCTAAAGTACCCATCCTAGGGTAATTACTCGGCGCATCCTGAATTAATCATTCCACCATTTGCTCCGTTACAGTCAATCGCCTCCTCTGACAAACGAGCCGGCTTTGTACCTACA